GACTTGTGCCCGAACACGGCGCTGCTCTTTATGAACCACTACACCGAAGGCCTCATGGACCGCGACGACTTTCCATCGGTAACTTGGTTCTGGGCGCGAAAAGTGGTCTCACAATCATCCTAGGACAAGGTGATTGTCAATATGCCCAACGTGGAAATGTTTGAGCTCAAGGGCAAAGACTACCACCGCTTTGACGTCGTCCTCTGCAAGACGCGCGACGGCTACGACCGCCTCTCGCGCTGGTATCTTTGGCCCCGCATCGTATGCGAGATTATCTCAGGTGCTACTACTGGTAGGTACAAGGACAACGGAAACCCACGCAACACGACACTGCTCTACGTCCAGCACACGTCGTCCGACCCGTCGACGGTGGCCATTACGCATGCGATGGCGCACCCGGAGCTGCCGCCGATCCAGCCCAAGAACTTTGACCAGCTCACGTTCTTTCACGCCAACGGACGCAGCTGGCACAAGAGCACGCGCGCGGTGCTCGAGTGCTGGCACCAGCGACCTGATTTCCCGCGTATCGATATCTACTCGATGAATAGCGGCACGCTCCGCGACTTCAACGAGCTCTTTCTACCACGCGGCGCGCCGTCCAACCTGCAATTCCATTATGGCGAAGAAGTCGACGTCGCCCAGTTTGGCCGGCAGCTACTGGAATCGAGTGTCATCGTCTGCCCGAGCAAGATGGAAGGCTTTGGCCACTACATCAACCAAGCACGCGCGTCCGGCTCGCTTGTCTTGACGACGGACGGGGCGCCCATGAACGAATTCATCGACGACGACTCGGGCGTGCTTATCAACGCCACCCAGAAGGACCCTAGCCCGTATGTTGTATTGTTTGCGATTTTTCCACCGTCGCATGTCTTTGTAGGAACCAAATCTTGAGCGTGTATGGTGGCATGGAGTGGGGCGTGACGGCCGATGCCATTTGCGACGCCGTCGATCGAGTGCTGGCCCTGCCTGTGCTTGAACGAGAACGACGAGCTGCGAAGGGGCGCGGGCGGTACGAGGCGCAGCTTCTCGAGTTCAAACGCGCCATGCGCCACGTTCGCGTCGGACTAGCGAATGAGATTACCAAGCCATAAACGCATGTCGATGCTCGCTGGGCAACATTTTTGTCTGATACAATGTCGGTGGCAATTTTCACTCTAAAGCAGTATCGCACATGCTACTCTCTACGACTGATGCGGTAATCGCGTCGTGAAGCACGCCAAACCTGCATATTTCGAGGAATTATCGACTGTTCTCGATATGGTTGCCCTCTCTCCGCCTCGGCTGTAGCCCTCCAGACGCCCCAGAAACCATCCAGAAATTGTCCGATTCCTTTTTTTCTTGTTGCATCTGGACGTGATACCACCACCGTTCGTACACATCACTGTACAGTGTACTAGGAAGCAGATCCTCAGCACGTACGGCACCAGTCGACTGTATCGTGGAAGTCGATCTGCGATGCTGTCAACGACGTGCTCGCCATGACGCCAGACGAGCGGCGTCGGCGCGCCGTCAACGGCCGCCTGCGCTACGAGCAGCAGCTGGCCGCGTTCAAGGAGAACATGCAGCATGTCCAAGCCCTCTACCCTTTCCGAGAGCTCGTGTAAGACGACTGCTGTAGCGTCAATATTGTATGTACTATGCTGGCTACCCCGCATCCACGCCCAGAGAGGCAGCGTCGCAATACGGTACACTACTACGTGCTATTTCAGCCCTTGTCTGATGGATATTTGACTGGTGCTGTATTGACACGCTGGAGCCTTCGTTAGCTCATCTCTACTGATGCGGCTTCTTGGCAAGAAGAGCGCGCACGTCATGCATGTTGTCTCGAAACTCGGTGAGCTGCTTCTCGTAGCGTCGCCGTCCGTTCTGTGCGCGCCGCTGGCGCTCGGACGGCGCGAGATGCAGGACGTTGTCGACAGCGTCGCAGATCGAATTCCACGATACAGTCCACTCCATACCGCCGTAAGCACTCAAGAGCTGGTCCCTACACAGTGATGAGATGATACACTTCTATAGTCTATAGATTGTCATCATGTACCGGTTGGGACCTTGTTGAAAAGCATCGACAAGCACACCGGAATCGCCGTCGATGAATTCGTTCATGGGCGGCGCATTGGTCGTTAAGACGAGCGAGCCGGACGCTCTAGCTTGGTTGATGTAGTGGCCAAAGCCTTCCATGCGACTCGGGCACATGACCACGCTCGTCTCGAGGAGCTGGCGGCCAAACTGGGCGACGTCGACTTCCTCGCCGTGGTGAAACTGGAGATTCGATGGCGAACGACCACCAAAGATCTGATGATAGTCGTCGAGCGTCCATGAGTTTCTCGAGTAGACGTGAATAAGCGGAAAATCAGGTCGCTGCTGCCAGCACTCGAGCACTGCGCGTGTGCTCTTGAACCAGCTGTGGCCGTTGGCGTGAAAGAACGTGAGCTGGTCAAAGTTCTTGGGCTGGATCGGCGGCAGCTCCGGGTGCGCCATCGCATGCGTAATGGCCACCGTCGACGGGTCGGACGATGTGTGCTGGACGTAGAGCAGTGTCGTGTTGCGTGGGTTTCCGTTGTCCTTGTACCTACCAGTAGTAGCACCTGAGATAATCTCGCATACGATGCGGGGCCAAAGATACCAGCGCGAGAGGCGGTCGTAGCCGTCGCGCGTCTTGCAGAGGACGACGTCGAAGCGGTGGTAGTCTTTGCCCTTGAGCTCAAACATTTCCACGTTGGGCATATTGACAATCACCTTGTCCTAGGATGATGATTGTGAGACCACTTTTCGCACCCAGAACCAAGTTACCGATGGAAAGTCGTCGCGGTCCATGAGGCCTTCGGTGTAGTGGTTCATAAAGAGCAGCGCCGTGTTTGGGCACAAGTCGAAATAGTTTATGTTTTTTCGGCCTACAAGTCAAAGTGCAATGTCAGATCCTAGTTGCGATTGAGATTGCACTTTGCCTTGGTAGTTGAAGCGCAAATCAAAGACCCAGAGCGGCAGCGCGCGCGTCTTGAGAAACTTGACGTACGCCATACCGTCTTCGCAGTACCCGTGGTCGCGCAGGCCGGCGGGGAGGAAGACATCGACCTCGGGGCACTGCGCGAGGTGCTCAATGAGCTCGTTTTGTGGCGTCTTGTCGCGGGTCCAGAGCTGGGCGAGGTCGACCTCGGTGCTGTTGTACGACCAGTGAACGATACTGTCGTTGGCATGGAAGCAGGCTTCGTTGAGGTTGTTGAGGTGCACTACATCCCCGAAGAGGTCATACGGCGGGGTCGCTGTTGTTGCGTCAATGCCCTTGGTCGTGTGGAGTACGGGGCTCGAACTGGGCTCACGCGTGACGTCGACCGGACCCGTTGCGTGGAGCTTGAGGGTCGCATTGGGCAGACGCGTGACGTTATCAGCCCCAGTTGCAGTGGCGATTCCGTGGCCGCTCGACTCGTTGTGGCGCCGAAGATGCGCCAAGTCTTGGCCTTTGGCGCCATGAAGCCACGGCAGGTTGACCATCTCCCACGTAAAGACGCTGTACGCAGCCACGATGAGACAGAGGAGCGCGAGGAGGCCAAAGTAGAAGCGGCGCGGGCGCTGCGCCTAGTGGTCGAGCATGACGGGACGTGGGAGGGAGCATGGTAGGTACCATCGTGTCGTCTCACTACGATCTGAGATGTATATTTGGACGTGGTAAATGTAGTTTTGGAGGTGTTTTCCGCACCGAAATAGTGTTTCCTATCAAACAACCAAGCCCTTTGCCCCTGCAACGCCACCAGACCACGAGCTCATAATAGTACTCTTGACCAGCCCGATCCTACTACATTTAGAACCCCTCCTACCCTCTCGAACCACCTCCCTGCGTTGGCACATCGGCCCAACAACCTTACACTATTTTGGCACACGTCCAAATCTACATGTCCATTTGTAATCGGGTGCTGTCAATTGTGACCGTCGCACGGCTGCGTGTTCTTATCCACTCGGACGACCAACGTTGTTGCTTGTGTTGATGAGCGAGCGTCCAGTGACGTCGCCACCGCGCAGGCTGGTGCAACGCAATATCGCTGCTCCTGTGCACGGCGTTGGCGGGAAACGCCATCGCGTTATCGCTGCATATCATTGTCACACTATATTTCCCTTGGTTGCAGTACAGACTGCATGGTTGCTCTCCCACGCATACATCGAGTATCCTCGGAAGTGATTCAATTTGTGTCTCCCGGCTACTTGGGCACGGTATATTTCTATGTCGGCTAGCGACCACGACAACAATGGCGCAAGTGGCACACGTATGGTCTCCAGCTCACGCTCAAAAAGATAAGACTAGTTTAGGTCGTGTCGATGCTGGCTTGCACGTGCCACTCCACAGTTCCGACTGAACTGAGTAGTAAACAAACACACCGGTGAGGAATCGTACGTGGTGCTATCGGTTCAGAGGGCTACTGACAGATGTCTTGCTCGGCGAAGCGACTGCAAATATACTACGCGTGTAGTACGAGGAGAGCTTAGACGTCAAAGACGGCGCGCACTTGGCGCATGTTCTCCTTGAACGCGACCAGCTGCGCTTCGTACCGCCGGCGTCCGTTCTCGGCGCGTCGCTGCCGCTCGGAGGGCGTTAGCGCCAGCACGGTATCGACTGCGTCGCAGACACCGTCGGGCGTCACGTCCCACTCCATGCCCCCGTAGATGCTCAAGAGCTGGTTCCTACAAGCACGATCACGACGCGTTCGGGATGCGAGAGCTACCTACGAGTTGGGCCCTAGGCGATGCGCATTGATGAGGACACCAGAGTCCTCATCGACAAACTCATTCATGGGCGGCCCGTCCGTCGTCAAGACAAGCGCGCCGGACGCGCGTGCTTGGTTGATGTAGTGGCCGTAGCCCTCCATCTTGCTCGGACACAAGATGACGCTGGCTTGAACGAGTTCGCGGCCAAACTGAGACGCGTCGATGGCCTTGCCGTGGTGGAATCGCACGTTGGGTGGCGCGGCATCCGGTCCGAAAATCTCCTCAAAGTCCTCTTGCGTCTTGGTGCTGAGCGTATAGACGTCAATGGTTGGCAGATCCGGTCGGCGTTGCCAGCACTTGAGCACGGACGGCGTGCTTTTTTGCCAACTGTTGCCGTTGGCGTGGAAGAACGTGATGTTGTCAAAGTCCTTGGGCTGGATCGGTGGCAGCTTGGGGTGTGATAGAGCATGCATGTGCGCGGCCGTCGACGGGTCGGACGACGTGTGCTGGACGTAGAGCAGTGTCGTGTTGCGCGGGTTTCCAAAGTCCTTGTACCTAGATTCACACTTTATAGCGGAGCGAGGGAAGGAGCTAATACCATTGTGAGAGGCGGTCGTAGCCGTCGCGCGTCTTGCAGAGGACGACGTCGAAGCGGTGATAGTCTTTCTCCTTGAGCTCGTACATTTCCACGTTGGGCATCGAGATGATGACCTTGTCCTAGGATGATAAATGTCAAATCACTTTTGGGCTCAGGGCCAGAGACCTTGGGAAAGTCCGGGCGGCTAGGGACGCCGTCCATGTAGTGGTTCATAAAGAGCAGGGCCGTGTTCGGGCACAAGTCGAAATAGCTGATATTTGTTCGGCCTACGCATCAAAGTGCAATGTCAGATTCTAGTTGAGATTGAAGTTGACATTGCACTTTGCCTTGGTAGTCGAAGCGCAAATCAAAGACCCAGAGCGGCAGCGCGCGCGTCTTGAGAAACTTGACGTACGCCATACCGTCTTCGCAGTACCCGTGGCCGCGCAAGCCCGTGGGAAGGAAGATGTCAACGCCCGGGCAGTGCGCGAGGTGCGCAATGAGCTCGTCCTGTGGTGTCTCGTCGCGGGACCAGAGCTGGGCGAGGTCGACCTCGGTGCTATTGTATGACCAGTGAACGATGCTGTCGCTGGCGTGGAAGCAGGCTTCGTTGAGGTTGTTGAGGTGCACCACGTCACCAAAGAGGTCGTCGTCCTTGTCCGAGCTGTGCACGGACGCTGTGCGCATGGACAAGACGTTGGGCCAGGACACGTTGCCTTTACTGCGCAGGAGCGGGCGCTGCGGCACGCTGCTATAGGCGATCGAGTGCAGTGTAAAGGCGCACGCGGCAAACGCGGCGAGCGCGAGCTTGCGATGGTTTGGGCGCAGAGACCAGACCGATCGTCCTTTCTAAGCACAAGAAGAGGGCGTGAGTCGCATTCGACATACGCGTCTCGGTCGTACGACGAGGTTGGCCATGCCACGTCTGTGATAAAAACTGAACTGACCCAGCCGCCAGCCATGGCGCTACATATACGGGTACAGCAGTCCAGCGACGACTTGGGACACGCGGACACACGGAGGGTGCGCTGTCCAACGTTATGAATGTGACGTGTGCACGGAATATTGTGCACGAACGCTTTGTCTTCTATGAGTCCACTCGCACGCTTGGAAACCTGTCAAAAGTACGATTTGCTTGCGTCGCTTGTGAGTTTCATTTGCCCACCTGAGCGCTCTCGTTCCCATCGACGAAACACCATGTGTTTCCGGACCGATTTGGTTTTACAGTTTTATTTCCAGTTCCCAGTGAGTAAATACTGTACTAGTATATCTTGATAAAACCATCTCCATGGCGAATCAATAATGGGCTCAACTTTTGGTATTGGATAGCATCGAAGAACTAGTCTAGACACCTGTGTGACGAGGAACCGCTCATGCAGCTCAGCAAACTGTGATTGGTGCCGCCATGTGGTCTCCAATCAATATTTGGCGGGAAAATGTCAAAACTGGGTGAACGTGGGCCCAAATCAACCCAAACCTGGGTAAATTGCATAAAAATACATAGACTTGGTTTTAATATTGAGTGGCTCAAAGTGGCTCAGGGTGGCTCACCTTGGCGTCTTCACATGCCCCTCTCCTCCTACGCCTCCTTCACCGCAAACAAGACATGTACAACGATCCTTTAACCTTCCTCAACACCTCACATCACCCCCACCTACCCTTCCCTGCGACTACCTTGCCAAACAACCCCAATACCCTGCCGGGAACTTAAGCGAATGGTTATTTTTTCTCCAAATTCCTGTTTTGACGCAGCTTTTACCAAACACACCCAGTTCTGTCATTTTCCCATATTTGGCAGACGGCGATGGGTGATGTTAGCAACTCTGGCAAGTTGCCATTATTATTAATAACAACGGGCATGTTCGAAATCGGGACCTCCTGCACTAGACCACAGGGCCTTCCTTGTTAACGGGCATCATTAACGAACGGGTGGCCTGTCCGTCAAATTCCAATCCCAATTTCTGCATCTTGGCGAGAAGCTGCGTACCTCATTCCGGCCTGCGGCCTCCATACGCCTTGCCTCCGCGACGGCCAAGCCTCGTCGCTGCCGTCGTCGCATTGAGTCGAAAGTCAAGAACAGTGTAATGCACAGTTGTGCAATGTGCACACTATGAGCGTTGATTCCAGTGTGGACAAGGTGTCGTCGTACAGGGAATGGTATGGTGGTTGGAGAGGACTTTTAGGTCTTAATACTTACGGTATTTTCATCGCTGAGAAGGACTTGATGAGGGACGATAACGGCCAGAGATGACGACGAGGGTGCTACAAATTTACCGGTGCCAACGCATGAGACTCTGCGTTGGCTACAGGTCAAAGAGCATCCGAACACGGCGCATCGCGGCATTGAACTCGACGAGCTGCTGCTCGTAGCGGAAGCGCCCACGCATGCCGAGCGCTTCTCGCTGTGCCGGCGTCATGGCAACGACCTTGTCGACCGCGTCGCAAATCGCGTGCGACGTCACGTCCCACTCCATGCCGCCATAGATGCTCAGGAGCTGGTTCCTACAAGCACGCAACGTCACTCCTCTTCTCAAAAACAACACAAATAGGATCATACGGGTTGGGGCTGAGGCGGGAGGCTTCAATGAGGACACCAGAGTCCTCATCGACAAACTCATTCATGGGCGCCCCGTCCGTCGTCAAGACAAGCGCGCCGGACGCGCGTGCTTGGTTGATGTAGTGGCCAAAGCCTTCCATCTTGCTCGGGCACAAGATCGCGCTCGACTCGAGGAGGAGGCGGCCAAAGTGGGCCACGTCAATGTCCTCGCCAAAGTGAAAACGGATGTTGGCGGGTGCACCCGTGACGCCAAACATCTCATCAAAGTCTTCCTTGACGCCGCTGTACATGGAGTAAATGTCAATCGGCGGCAGATCCGGTCGGCT